TACTTTATATAAATGTCATTATTGGGAGAAATATGTGACAACGGTTTGTCTCTGCAGGTGCTGGTGAAGGATCACCTGGACAAGCCGATCAACCGGGTTCAGGTTCAACTGGTGGAGCGACAGCTGTTCAGACGGGGGAAGACAGTGGAGGAGATGCCCTGTCCCAGCTCAGCCAACAGCCAATCAGACGGCCTCGCTGTCTTCATCTGCAACACGCCCGGTGAAGCAGAGACCGCGGTGCTGAAGGTGGAGTTCTAGATCTACAATCTCACCACGAGGCTTGTTTGTTATTATTGTTCACTTGTTGATATGTATTTGTTACTTAGTTGTTGCTGTTTACTGGCTATTGTTTGTACTTGTTGTTTATAGTTGTTATTTATTTGTTATTGTTGACATATTATTGACTTGTTGTCCACTCACTTGTCAATATTTGACACAGTTTGAGACGGCTGACCCCGCCCTCCCAGCAGCCAGTCAGGCGAGTCTGACTTTGCATGCGGCGGCGTATCACTCACCGAACCAGCGTTACCTTTACATCGACCCCCCGCTGCCTGGCCGCGGCCTGACGCTGGGACAATACGCCAACATCAAGGTGTACTCGGCCACGCCCTCCTACCTGCCTGTCAGAGCCCTCAGTTACCTGGTGAGAGGACACAGCAGCTGATGCACATGCTCTGTTTCCATAGTTACTGATGACATCACTCTGTGCAGGTGCTCTCTAAAGGGAAGGTGGTGGAATTTGGGAATCATGAGTTCGTCTCCAGCGCAGACAACAAACAGACTCTGAGATTTGAGGTGACGAGCGACATGGTCCCGTCCATCAGACTGCTGGTCTACTACATCCTGTTCGGAGAGGGGACATCTGAGCTGGTGGCCGACTCCGTCTGGTTGGACGTCAGAGACAAGTGTGTCAGTGGACTCCAGGTACGCAACTCTACTGAGGGTCGTCAGGTGATGGCAGCTGCTCTGATTGGTTCATCTCTTCTCATGTCGTAGTTCAAGTCCACGTTTCAAAATGTCGGACTAAAACCAAACTTCATAATTTCAACATCTTTCTTACCACATCATCTACGCTGCCACGGATGTTAAGCAACACATCCACCAGGGGGCAGCTCAGAGTCACACATTACTGACAACATGTGACTGTGGTGGGGGGGAAGTCATAATAACGTACTCATTAAGAAAGAGTGTAAAACAGAGGCAGTGGTGTAAATGTTCTGTCCGAATCAAACACTGACAAGAAAAGAACCTCCGCTCCTCCTGTTCTGTTTCATAGACCGACTCCGCCCTCTAGTGTTCAACACCGTGAAATGCATTTCTTTACAGATGGATAGAGACACCGCTGCAGCCGAGGGTTTTTCAGCTCTCGGTTTTGTGGAATATGCATCTGGAAGAACAACATCTGGACCGAGACTGTTACTTTAAGATTCCAATTATAATATTA